AAAAAATTGAAATATATACATAACACGTTAATTTTAATGGTTATGGGTGTCTTAGATAATTTAGTTTAAAGAAGTAACATTTATTTAACATAATGTTTAAATCGGTGTGTAATTTTGGGTTATTATTTTAAATGTATATTTTTTAATTAATTCATATTCAAAATGTGTACTGTGAATAATATTAAAGGTGAAATTGATATACAGAGATTACCTGTAAACTTTGAAGAGTATAAAATTAATGACTGGACAATTAAATACACAAAATCTCATATTCTCCATTCCTTGTGTGTAACTACTGAAAAATGTAATGAGAAGTTGGAGGAACAGTGTTTACTATGTCTGTACGTTGTTCTGTACCTACCTATTAAATGGTTTTATTTTATTTCCTTTCTGTTTTAAGATACACAAATACCTTACAATTGCCACATCTCCCAGAAATGGTTTTTCCAAACAATAAGTTGACTATAGTTCATCCAAATGGTAGCTTCATAGAGTTTAATACATTGGATGCATTAAAGAGAGTTTCAAATGGAAAGCAGCCTTTGAAGGTTGCTTATGCAGAAACTTGGAAAGAGTCCAGGTTAGTAGTAGTAAGATACCTATAATTTTATAATAAATGTAATCTATACAATGCACGCTATTCATTTCTAAAGTAAACTTGATTTCTAAGATGCTATTTTCAGTGCTAGTTTTTCCCCATACTTTGCTTTTTGCTTAATAAACAGTTTGATTTGAACGCAATTTAGACGTTATATTTCATTTCAAGCGTTTGCCAAAAAACTAGAAGTGTGTCGTTTGCAAAGAACGCTTTCAGAAGAACCAGATTTCACTTCTGAATGAACTGAATCGCAAAAAATTGAACCAGTGTTCATAGGTTGCCGACTCTGTATATCCTTTATTCATTCTAATTGTAAGTTGTTCTTAACCCAATCAGAGCCATAATCATAGAATCGTTCGTTGCTTTATAGATTTATAAAGGTTTAGACATTTTCAGTGCTGTGGATAAATAGCGTTATCATAAGAATGTCAACAGAATGTGTTTTTCATATTTTACAATTATTAAAAAACTAATTAAAAACGGAACATGATATAATTTAAAAAATCTAAATAGAAAATTTTGTGGTCATTGTGTTGCACTAATTCAGAAAGATGATCCAGATTGAATGAATCGGACCACAAAATTGAACCATTCTGACCACCTCTGTTTTGTTATCAAATACAGTAAATACAGTGAGTGTTAATGTGAACTATACAAACAATTTTGCTAATAACTCCTGTATAAACTTTTATTTGATTTTAAAAATTTGTATTTGGTTTGTACCCAATTTTCACAAATTTATGACGTTATGAACCATATCATATGTTAGGGAAAAACTTTTGTATGGAATTTAAGTTGTACTTCTTATTTATCGAAGATTCTATTAATATTTATAGATCGCTGATAGGTTGTAAGTTCCAGATCATGGACTGGAGATGAAAAATAAATTGGCTTCAGTTATAAAATTTGACCTGTGTAATCTACAGGGTGTCTCATAATTAGCTGCCAACCCTGAACAGGCCGATTCTATGATAAAAACTAAGTAAAAAAGTTCATATGAACATGGGTCCGGAAATGCTTCCTAAGGGCACAGGGACCCATTGAAGAGGGAGGAATGGAAATCATTTTTTTGCAATATCTCTCAATCGCGTTGTGATAAATGAATGAAATTTGGTATACACAGCTAAATTTTGATGAGCAATTTGATGGACTAATCCATTTATTTCCACAAGGTCCATTGGGGTGGGTACGGGGGGGCCCTTGGTACTTTGCGTGTGTAACTTTTTCATCTTTGACTTTTTAACAAATTGGACAGCAAATTCCGTTTTCCCGAACTGTTTTACGTTAAAAAGGTACTCTTGTTTCAAATCGTTATCTTTAACGGTTTCTGAGAAAATCGCTCTTGAATTAATCCCACTTTGGTCAATTTCATAGTAATTTAAACAAAAAAAAATAATAATAATTTTCCTTTCCTCTCTTTTCCATTTAAAGGATTAATTTTTATTTAATTTAATTTTTTATTATTATTTTTTTATTAAAATTAGATTAAATTTAAACAAAAAAATTTTTTTTGTTTAAATTACTATGAAATTGACCAAAGTGGGATTAATTCAAGAGCGATTTTCTCAGAAACCGTTAAAGATAACGATTTGAAACAAGAGTACCTTTTTAACGTAAAACAGTTCGGGAAAACGGAATTTGCTGTCCAATTTGTTAAAAAGTCAAAGATGAAAAAGTTACACACGCAAAGTACCAAGGGCCCCCCCGTACCCACCCCAATGGACCTTGTGGAAATAAATGGATTAGTCCATCAAATTGCTCATCAAAATTTAGCTGTGTATACCAAATTTCATTCATTTATCACAACGCGATTGAGAGATATTGCAAAAAAATGATTTCCATTCCTCCCTCTTCAATGGGTCCCTGTGCCCTTAGGAAGCATTTCCGGACCCATGTTCATATGAACTTTTTTACTTAGTTTTGATTATAGAATCGGCCTGTTCAGGGTTGGCAGCTAATTATGAGACACCCTGTATATCCTAGTTTATCCTTGGCTATCTTTAATATAATATATTTTCAATTTGTTGCAGTAGGTAGAATATCTTGGAAAATTACTATAAAAATTAAATCATTTAGGAGAATTATTATGGCTTTACCAAAAAATATAAGCATATGTTATAAGTTTTACAGCTATTATGTATAAATTATAGAATGAATAGCTTTTATTAAAAGAATTTCATATTTTTGATTTTGTTTTTTTCTCTGAATATCAGTTTTAATTACCTTTTTGTTTTCCTCTCGCTGGATCTTTTCAACAAGGTTGTTCCCTCAGGTAAAATTTTATATAAAATGTTATACATGGTGTTTCTTAAGTAGAGGTCAAAAAATCCAGGGGTGTATTCTGTGGCCAAAAATAAGGGTTTTTTGTTATATAAAAGTGGAGTCTTAGGACAGTCATTGCCCAACTACAGCAGTGTCAAAAATTTAAAAAAATCTGTTTTTAATTTCTAAACCGCTTGAGATAATTTAGCCAAATTTTTTACGCATATTTAGTATGACAGTAGGTACGAAACAAAAAATTACCAGCTTTAGAAACTTACCAGTGGTGGAGGTGTGGGTACCTATGTATCATCGATCATTATTTGCCAAAAAAAAATATATCACTCTGTATAATAATACAAATAAAATAGGTCATCTTATGTGCCATCATCTTCACTTTTTGTTTCTTTACAGTTTTTTGTATTCCAAACCGATTAGCAAAATTGATTTATTTGATCAAGTGCATTTTTATACAGTTACTTAAATTAGGTAAACATATCATAGGCAGGCCATGCAAAACAATAATAATAAGAAGTGTTTGTCTTATTTAAATTGTGTATTGTAAAATTAAGCTTATTTTTTTTAAATATTAAGTTTTAATAATGGCTTATGCATATTCAAATGCTGAAATGGCCAATATGGTTTACATTTATGGCCTTAGAGATGGAAATGGTACCGAGGCTAGGCGAATTTATATGGAAAGATTTCTAAATCATCCAACTCCAAATCCGAAAGACATTGTTTGTTTGTTTGTTTGTTTGTTTGTTTGTTTGTTTGTTTGTTTAACTCCAGGGATCAAGACATTGTACAACATACAATTCTTAATATAGGATACGTCACAAAAAATAATTAAATACAAACATTAATGTTAAAATATTCATCAACCGAGTAGAAGGCCCAAGAGAGGAGAAATTTTTTTAATTCTTGTTTAAATTTATTTTGTGAATTTATATTTTTTAAATATTTTGGTAGCTTATTAAATATACGAATAGACATAGACCGAATACCTTTAAAACACTTATCTGTCCTACACTGTGGCATTCGCAGATCGTGTTTGTACCTTGTGTTATGTATATGAACATCTTGTTTTATAAATTCATTTATGTTGTTCTTTACGTATAATGCACTGAAGTATATGTATATAGAAGGGAATGTTAATAAATTATATTTAAGGAATAGTTTTTTGCATGTAGATCTTCTCGGGACCTGTGCCATTATACGAATGATATTTTTTTGCGCTATCAAGACCAAATTTGCAGTTACAGCGTTTCCCAACAAATTACCCCAAAAGATAGTAAGGAATATANTTTGCATGTAGATTTTCTCGGGACCTGTGCCATTATACGAATGATATTTTTTTGCGCTATCAAGACCAAATTTGCAGTTACAGCGTTTCCCAACAAATTACCCCAAAAGATAGTAAGGAATATACATGTCCATAATATAATGAGAGAAGCGTTGAATCAGCAACTACCGGTCTTAGTTGTCTAAATAAGAAGCTTAAAGAGTTTAATTTGTTACAGACATGGGTCACATGTAAACTCCACGATAATTTCATGTCAACATGTATCCCTAGGAATTTACATTGAAAAACATTTCTAATGTTTAGTGTACTAGTATTAGGAAGATCGTTGCAAGTCTTAATGTGAATCATAAATTAGTTTGGTCTGTTCTGAAGGATCAACAGTTATACCCATATCACACACAAAGGGTTCAAGCCTTACTGCCGCAAAACTATCCTGCTCACCTACAATTTTGCCACTGGATTTTGCAAAAAATTTAACAAAATGTTGACTTTACCGCTGGCATATTTAGCGACAAAGCAAATTTTTCCAGAGATGCTATAATGAACTTCCACAATAAATATGTTTGGTCTCATGAAAACCCTCATGCCATAATGGAATCTCGGATGGAAGAAGAACTTTAACCTGTGTCTCCTATAGGCATTTTCTTGAAATCATTTTACATGAACTATTTGATGATCTTCCATATGCGCTAAGAGAAAGAATGTGATTTATGCACAACGGGGCTTTCCTGCAGTTTAGTTTAATAGCTCATGAATTTTTAAATGAAAGAATTGGTAATAATGTGATTGGTCGAGGAACTCAAGAACCAGATCAACCTTGCTCACCCGGATCACCCGATATGAACCCTATTGATTTTTTTATTTGGGTACATCTCAAGACATTAGTTTACAAGATTCAAATTGAATCTGAGGAGCACTTATGTCAACAAATTATAGCTGGTTGTGATATGATAAGAGCTACTTCTGGAATTTGCACGTGTTCAAGCTGCAATTTCAAGAAGATCTGAAGCATGTATTTTGGCTGAAGGTGGCCATTTCCATTTTTATAATAAATCATGGTAAAATTGTTAATTAATTATTTTGTTATTATTTTAAGTAATGTAATGAGTATCGTAAAATGCACTTGATCAAATAAATCAATTTTGTTGTTAATGGTTTGGAATACAAAAAAGTGTCAAGAAACAAAAAGTGAAAATAATATAATAGCACATATGATGACCTATTTTATTTGTAATATTATACAGGGTGATATTTTTTTTTTGGCAAATAATGATCGCTGATACATACACACACCTCTACTATTGGTAAGTTTCTAAAGCTGGTAATTTTTTGTTTCATACCTACTGTCATACTAAATATGCACACCAAATTTGGTAAAATTTAGTTTAGAAATTATTATTTTATTATTTCTTTTTATTTTTGGCACTCTGTAGCTGGACAATCGCTGTCCTAAGACCATTTATATAACAAAAAAACCCTGATTTTTGGTTAGAGAATATGCCCCTGGGCTTTTGACCTTTACTTAAGTAACGCCCTGTATAGTCACGATAATCTGTAACAAAGTTTTGTTTTTTTGTTGTTCTGTTAATGTGTTTATTTTTTAACTAGCGGCCCGTCCCGGCTTCGCACGGGTGGACACTTATTTTAAACATTTTGGGATATAAAAAATATAGCCTATGTTACTCAGGGATAATGTAGCATTCTAATGGTGAAAGAATTATCGAAATCCGTCCAGTAGTTTTTGAGTTTATTCGTAACAAACATACATACATACAAAAATACAAATCTTTACTCTTTATAATATTAGTATAGATTACATATTGACTTTTTAATTTTTGCTTATAAATTATGTTGTAATTTAAGGTTACCAGAAAATTTAGAAGAGAAAATAAAACCATTCGACTGGACATTTAGTACTGATTATAGGGGAACATTATCTAAATCTGCAGTTGTTATGGCAACCGATGAAAGGATAGATATAGAAAAATTGAAGCAAAAAGAAAAAATTTTGTTTTACCAAGAGTTAATGCTTTATGAGGATGAGTTACACGATAATGGTATATCTTCTTGTACAATTAAAATTGTAAGTATAAAAATTTTATGTTAAGACTGTATTAATAAATTAAGCAATATACAGGTGCCCTAACGTTAGGCTTTGTACACTTTAATAGCTGATAGAGGAAGTTATTTTAATAAAAAAGTTCACATGAACATATGTCTTAAACAGATTCGTTTCCGAGATGTAAAATATTGAAAATATATGTATATTTTTTAAGTAACTGCAAAACTATACAGGGTGGTCCGAATTTTATGCAGGAAACTTCGAGGGCAGATAGATCTCTTTAAAATAATATTTCTTTGCCTTATAAACATAGATCTGGAACGCCACCGTTTTAGATATACAGGGTATTGAAGTTGTCAAAAAAAATAGATTTTTTGTTTATATCTCCAGAATCTATTAACCGATCTCAATAAAATTTGGTACATATAATGTATAATAGTAAGCCTTGCATTCCGTAAAATATGAGCTCTAAAGGTTCAACCAGTGGTGTACTAATGGACAGGGGTCACCCCCCTTTTTTACAAAAAACCCTACGCCACTGCATTTTTTACATGTCATTGTAACTGATTTATATTTTAATGCACAAAATACGTAAAAAAGGTGACTTTAATTTTTTCCCCAAGATTCGCCGTTCTCAAGTTATTCATACCAATACAATCCCCTTGTGGCAGACACTTCTAACGACAAAATTACAAGAATATTTGTTTATTTTTAAAAGTAAGTGCAATTTGTAAGCAAATCCACAAAATTATTTACACTCCTTTCTACACCACCTGTGAGGTAGTGTGCGATATAAACAAAAAATCAATTTTTTTTTAAAACCTCAACACCCTGTATCTCTAAAACGGGGCCGTTCCAGACCTTTGTTTATAAGGCAAACACATATTATTTTAAAGAGATCTATCTGCCCTCAAAGTTTCCTGCATAAAGTTTGGACCACCCTGTATAATACTTTTTTTACCGTTTTTCATATGCGACATGAGTGCCATAAGTACCATATTTTGAACTTTGTTTTAATTATCATTTACAGTATTGTATAGAAAAAGGGGTTGTTAGATATTTTAATCTTCAACTTCTGTGCCAACGGAAGTAATTGGTTTTCTTATTAAAAGGTAATTTGAAAATTTATGAAAAAGTCACATTTTGTAGATGTTGCTAATTCCAACCATTCTCAAATGACATAGACCGACAAGATTTTAACTAAACAACACGAATATGCTTTCCCAAAGGATTTATATGCGTTCGAATCCGAGCTCCAAATTTCTGAATTGGCTCTGGTTTTCGAGATATCCTAACCTAAAAGTGCGAAAATCATATTTGAGGTACATGAAAAGGTATTTTTTTTTTGCTGAAACTATTAATGGGATCTTAAAGTACTATATACCTACTCTTTAAAACACACTTGGATATGTCCAGATTTAATTTTTCATCTTTCGCATGTTGAAATTTAGTAGTTTGACTTATTTCTCTGGATGAAATTGGCTAAATTTAAAATTTCTAAGGAAATTGATTGTGGTAGTGTATTTTCCTGGCCTCCGTATTTCCCCGATTTATCTCCATTCGATTTTTTTGCCTCAGAGTGTACAACTGCAGAAATACTATAGAGGAACCAAGGGAAAGAATAAAAACTGCGTGCCAAGAAATACGAGAGTATTTAAACATTCTGTTGTGTTAAATTGTTAAAAAAAATTCCTGATTTTTAACAAGAAAACAGTTATTTCCATTGGTGTAGAAGTTGGAAGGTAAAATGTCAAATTACCCTCACTTCTCTATGTTACTGTAAGTGATAATTAAAACAAACAAATGCCACTATCAGATACACTCTTCCATGGTTTTCCACAGGAGGTTACCACTGGGGCAAACTAGCCCGGTGCACCAATGGAGCAGTAGCATCCTCAAAATTATCAAATATCTCTGAAATTAAACATGATAAGATGCAGTTTTCACCATTCGTGCAAGTGTGAGGAAACGTATTCTTTACATTATTTGTTTAATACATTTGAAATAAAAAAATAGTAATTCCGATTTTTGGATCACTTTGTACTCTTTTTTTCTGTTTGAATTATATTTAGTAAGTAATGCAAAAAATAGTGTGACGACCCTTTCGACAATTAAACTACAATGAACGCTAACTGTAATTTAAATTATAATTTTTAAATATTTTATGTGACTGACGTCCCTGTTCTTTGTGACCCTCCTTTGACTATCAGTATTTTATTGATGAACTCTGGATTATATTTTTTCCTGTTTGGTCGGGTGCACAGTGGGAAATATGGGAAAAAATTTACGTACTCGGCTATTTTAACCTTAAAGTGGTAATTTCTTTGTTATTCTTCAAATATGCTTAATTTTATGATCCTGCTGCGATAATTTGATATATCCATATAGGAATTTTTTTAAATCTTGTGAGAACCTGTCACCCTCAACACCGAAGATAATAATTCGGTGAAAAAAAGAAAAAAGAAATAAATAAAAATAAAAAACAGAAAAGCAACCCTTTTGAAGACTGCTACCTTGACGATGTAAAAGGGCTTAAGTCTTATACAGGGTGTTTCTAAAATAGGGTTCCAAACTTCTACTGCGTTTATAACTCATTAAAATAAGCCAAACAGTTCCTATTAACATGTGCCCTAAAACGCACCCTTAGGAAGTTATATGCCCTTAAAAGGGCTCAAACAAAACTGTTTTTTTCTGTTATTGACAAAACGGACGCAAATAAATAGAAAAAAATTTATGGGTCTTACATAACTTTTTACGTTAAATAACCTGGGCTACTCCGTTTAACGGATGCAAATCATATGCGTCCCATTTAGGTTGGTGAAGGGGGTTTTCGGCCCGTAATTTTTTTTATTTCAATTTTTTACAATTTTCTCTACAGATTTATAAAATCTTAACAATTTTACGTAAAAAATATTATCTTTGTCCAAATCGATATTTCCAATGGTTTTCGAGTAAATTGAGTTTGAAAATTACTCTGCTCTTTGTTATTTGGCCAAAAATTACAAAAATCTGTTTACCATGGCAAATAAAAGACTGACGTTGCCACAGCGCTTAATAATTTAAGTTACTGATAAACTGTCAATTGAGCTTTGCAGTGTTTAATTAGTAAAAGTGGTGAGTGGAAAATTTAAGTAAAGTATAACTTCCTACGGGTGCGTTTTAGGGCACATGTTAATAGGGACTTTTTGGCTTATTTTAATGAGTTATAAACGCAGCAGAAGTTTGGAACCCTATCTTAGAAACACCCTGTATAAATAAAGATAACTAAATTGTTGAAATTTTTATGATTTATTGAATGAAATTTTATCTGTCTATCTAAATATCCATTTATTTTTTGTGGATTTGAGAATAAGTTTCAAGGGTTTGAGGTTAGGTTTTTATGGACATATTTTAGGTTTGAGGCTTCAGAACTACAAAATATTAGCTCAAGAATAGAGTTTTCAAGGAGTCGCATTCTTTGGTTTGAAAAATATCCTTCATTTGACTTTCTAGCTCAGATTTCTTGGATTTGAGGTTAGATGCTTAAGAATAGAGGTTAGGGGCTTTGAAACTAAAAAATATATGTTCCAGAAAATAGTTTTCAAGTACTTTTATTCTTAGATGTGGAACATACAGGTATACATTCTATGAATTTCCAACTCAAGTTTATACAATTTGAAGTTGTGCACAATGGTAACTATGGGAAAAATTCAATGCACTTGGTTATTTTAACTGTACATTGGTAATATCTTTTTTATTCTTCAAATATGCTTAATTTTATGATCCTCGTTCGATAATTTGACGTATAGGAACTTTTTTAAATCGAGTGAAAACCCATGAGCTTCAACACCAAAGATAATAATTCGGCATTTAAAAATAAAATGAAAATTTGTGTAACATTGAATAAAAATTAGAAGTAGAAAAATAATCAAAAACAAAAAAGTAAAAAATAAATAAAAATTAAAAACAGAAAAACAGCCCTTTTAAAGACTACCTTGACGCGGTAAAAGGCTTAAAAGTCTTATATGTACTAACCTTACATCTGTACCTCAGAGCTAAACTGTATTAAGTGCCAAAAATGAAATTTTACAGGAAAGAGATTTAAAGATTTAAATTTTGCTTATCATTCCATAACTTCGAACTCTTACTTCTCCTTGATAAAAAAAATTAATATGATGTGAAGTTATACGTTTATTTTAATATTATTTATTGTAATTTAAAGAATAATTTTCTATTCGTATTTTTTTTTCGAAAATATGGAGAGTATTTGGCACAAATATGATTTAGAGATTTTATATTATAATATTTACTAATTGTGTGATAATACGGAGGATAATACTGATAGAAACTACCAGTTTAATTTTTTTTATTGAAATAGTACAAACAACAAAAAAATAAATAAACTACATTCAATAAATATGTTTAAAAATACAAACATCAGATAATATTCATAAAAAAACTAAAGTTTATTTATTACAATAATTCCTAAATCTTTACAAAACAAAACAAAATTGTGTCAAATTATACTAGCCAATATTTATTAACTGAAAATATTTATGCTAGAGATTAAATAAATAAATCATCAACAATTCAAATCAACATTAAAAAGGTCTTAAACAAAATATATGTTTTCAATTTCCACCAAGAATGTGACGCGGGGGTCTTTTTGGAATTCTTCTCAATAAAAAATATTGTACAGACTGTATCTAGGATACGAAGTAATCAGGCTCTCAATTTGTACTTACTCTCAAGATTTATACATTCCGCTGTCTGACGTCGTCCAGAAAAGGGGTTTATCACAGCCTCCTTTCGGTCAATCGTCAGAGTATCTCAGTAAACAACGCCTTCCGAGCTGATGGGTTTATCACGCCGATGGGTGAAAAACATAAGTATACTAAGTCTAAGTTTGTGTATCCCCTGTTATCTAGCCTAAAATCCTGATGTGGCCACACACCTGGCAATGCCGGAGTAAACAAAGACTCCCTCAAGATTTATCAAGCCTAATCTCCTTAGTGCACTTTCGTGTTAGTTGAGACGGGATG